AGGACCCCCCGGTTCCCCCGTTCCTCACCGTGGGGAAGATGTCCTGGGGGGCAGCGGCGGGGCAGCGGCCGCGGGGGAGCACCCAGGGGGTCCCCTGGGTGCTGTTGGGTGCCCGCAGGCAGGAGCAGGCGATGTCCCCGCCGGTGTCACCCTGCTGCTCCCAGTCCTGGGGTCCCGTCCAGCCACAGCAGCCGAGCTGGGGAGGGGGCGCAGGGGGTCACTGAGGTGGTCTGGGGTGGCTCTGGGGTGTTTTTGGAGGGGAGGGGTCTCACCTGGTGCTGGACGGCATCCCAGCTCTCCTGGGGGTCCCCGGGTGGGCCCCGGGCCGGGTACCCCCGGATCAGCTGCTCGGCGTAGGCGGCCACCTGGGCAGCCAGCTGGGGAGGGGTCAGCACGGCACCCCGGGGTGCCCCCCACCACCGCAGGGTCCCCCTCATGACCCCAGGATCCCCCCCATGACCCCAGGGTCTCCCCAAGACCCCGGGATCTCCCACGACCTGGGAGCCCAGGGTCCCCCACAAGTCTGGGGTCCCCATGACCCCCGAGTACCCCCCATGACCCCGGGGTGCCCCTCACGACCCCAGGTTACCCCCATGACCCCAGGGTCCCCCCACGACTCAGGGTCCCCCCCAACCCCAGAGTCCCCCTATGACCCCAGGGTCCCCCACAACCGCAGGGTCCACCTGAGCCCAGGGTCCCCCACAACCCAGGATCCCCCAAAGACCCCGGGGTGCCCCCCACAACCCCGGGGTGCCCCCCAGGGCTCCGTCCCCTCGCTCACAGCCGCACGCTGCGTGTACACGATGACGGCCACGGTGACCTGGGCGGTGAGGAGCAGCAGCAGGAACCCGAAATACTTGGGGAAAAACAAAAAAAAAGAGGGTGGGGGGCAGCCAGAGGGGTCCCCCAGCCCCGGGGGGGCACTCAGAGGGGTCCCCCAGCCCCGGGGGGGCACTCAGAGGGGTCCCCTCCCCGGTCCCCGTGCTGCTCAGGATGTGGTGGCACCACGTGTCCCCGCGGTCGCCCCAGGAAGTTGCAGCACCGCCACCCCCGCCCCCCTCCCTGTTCCGTGAAGCCCCCCCAGAGCCCCCCAAGCCCCCAGACTCACCAAGCCCAGCATGGCCCGCAGCTCCTTGAGGGCGCCCAGGCAGCCCAGGAAGCCCAGCAGCATGGCGGCCGCGCCCAGCCCCGAGAGGCCGTAGGAGCAGAGCCTCAGGCTGGCCAGGGGGGTCCCTGCGCCCGGGCCCCCCAGGGACGGCGGGGACCGGGAGCGGGGGGGGACCCCGGAATGAGGGGGGACCCCGGGGGTCCCGGGGGGCTGCGGGGGCGGGGCCGAGCCGCGAGGGGGCGGGGCCGAGCGGTGAGTGACGGGTGAGAGGGCGGGGCCGAGCAGTGAGTGATGGGCCACAGGGCAGCACCGAGCAATGAGTGACGGGATAAAGGGCGGTGCAAGGGTGAGGGGCGGGGCCAAGCAATGAGTGACGGTCCAAGGGGGCGGGGCCGGAGAGAAGGGCGGGGCCTAGCCGCGGGGGCGGGACCGAGCAATGAGTGACGGGCTAAAGAGCGGGACCGGAGATAAGGGCGGGGCCTAGCCGCGGGGGCGGGACCAAGCAATGAGTGACGGTCCAAGGGGGCGGGGCCGGAGAGAAGGGCGGGGCCTAGCCGCGGGGGCGGGCCCGAGCAGTGAGTGACAGGCCAAAGGGTGGGACTGCCGTGGAAGGCGGCGCCAATCTCAATGAGTGACGGCTCCAAAGGGCGGGGTGGGCGTGGCCTGGCGCGGCGCGCGGCCGCCGCCCCGGTCACGCGCCGGGGGGCACGAGAGGATCCGGGGGGGATTGGGGTCTCGGGGGGCTCCAGAGGGTTCTGGACACGGGCAGGCCCAGACTGCAGGCGGGAACGCCTCGGGCTGCGGGTGCCCCAGAGGAACGGGGTCCCCCCAATCCGGGGGGCTCACCCCGAGCCCCGGGGGGTCTCAGGTTCGTGCGTGACCGCGTGGAGCGCTGCGGGGACCCCCAGGCCGTGGCGCTGAGCGTGGCCGAGCTGGGCGAGCCCCAGCCCAGCAGCCCCGACACCAAACGCCTGAGCGAGTGCCTGCGGCGCATCGGCGACGAGCTGGACAGCAACACCGAGCTGCAGAGGTGGGCAGCGCCCCGCGGGCCGCCCCTGGAGACCCCCGGGGCCCTGCCCTGAGCGTGGCCTGCCCCTCCCCGCCCCAGGATGATCGAGCAGGTGGGCTGCGACGCCCCCAAGAAGCTGTTCTTCCGCGTGGCCAGGGAGATGTTCGCCGACGGCACCTTCAACTGGGGCCGCGTGGTGGCCCTCTTCTACTTCGCCTGCAAGCTGGTGCTGAAGGTGGGTGTGGAGACCCCCAAGTGCCCCCCCCAGAGCGCCCTCAGAGCCCCTCTGAGCCCCCCTGCCCCCGGCAGGCTCTCTGCACCAAGGTGCCCGAGCTGGTGCAGACCATCCTGCGCTGGACCATGGAGTACCTGCAGGAGCACGTGCTGGCCTGGATCCAGGCCCAGGGCGGATGGGTGAGACCCCAGACCCCCCACTCCTCAGGGGCTGTGCTCCTGGAACCCTCCCTGACACCCCCTTGTACCCCAGACCCCTCCCTGACACCCCCTTTTAGCACAAACCTCCCATTCCTTGGGGGGCCAAGCCCCTGACCCCTCCCTGACACCCCAAACCCCCCATTCCTTAAGGAGCTGAGCCCCTGATTGCTCCTTGACACCCCAAACCCCCCAGGGGGCCAAGCCCCTCTTTCCCACCCTCCCCTCCCCAACACCCCCTTTCACCCCAAATCCTCCCCTCCATCCCCCCTTTTCCCGTTCAGGGGGCAGGCTGGGGACCCCTCCCCATCACCTGGGGGTCACCTTGCCCCCCGTGCCCCCTCCCCAGGAAGGGCTCCTGTCCCACTTCGGGACCCCCACCTGGCAGACCATCACCATCTTCGCCGCCGGCGTGCTCACGGCCTCGCTGACCATCTGGAAGATGTCCTAGATTTTGGGGTGGGGGTCACGTTTGACCCCCCCGCGACCCCCGGGACCCCTCCCCGGACTGGCCCTGCCGGCAGGGATGGTGCTGACCCCCCCAGCTCCTCGCCGGGGGGGTTTTTAACCAACGGGACTCGCTCGCCCGGATTTTGGGGCGGTGGTCCCGCTTTGGGGGGGGGTCCACCCTCCCCCAGACCCCCCCTCAGCCTTTCCCATAAATGTCCCGAGGTCGCAGCTGGGATTTGGGGGGGATTTGGGGGGTGGAGACCTCCCCCATTCTGGGATTTGGGGGTGGAGACCCCTCCCTACTTTGCCCCTCCTTGCCCTCAGTTTGACCCCAGGAATTGTGGTGCTTTTAGGGTGGGGGGGGGTCCTGCGGTTCCAGCCCCCCC